CTTTCTTCTGTACCTCACTCCTTGTGGTCTAGATGAGCCTGTCCCCATTCTGTGGTTAAGGAGTGTGCAGATGAGCTGAGCCAGGACAAGAGTCAGACCTTGGACATTTACTAGAACTACTAGGAAAAGGATGCTCTTGTGCTGAGGCTGATAAGCTAGTGAGAAGTAAACATGGACTGCAGGGACTGTGTGTGACCATGCGGGGATAGCCCGCCTCAGAAGAAAGCTAACCCAGGGGAAAGCAGAACAGATTCTTAATGTATTCACATGCACTTGGATACAGCCATGCCTGAAACCTTTTTCTACCTCCTGAATTTTTCAATGATGTTGCACATTCTCCCTCCCTCCCTCCTTCTCTCCCTCCCTCCCTTCTTTTTCTTTAGAAATGCATATGTTACTTTGAATTCAGTTCCAGAAATTTAGGGGCAAAAAGTGTCACAATATAATTCCATTTTATAATCTTTAAAATACTACCTTTGGCATGAACAAGCCAAATTTAATATATAATTTTTTTAAAATAGCTTTTGTGTGTATAAAAACACATGCAGAATGCTACCTTGTGTGTCTAACATTTCCTTCCTTCTTATTAATTGAACACTATTGATAGTTTTGTAATAGCTTTATTGAGATATAATTCACAAGCTATCCATAAAACCTATCCTTTATAGAGTATAATTCAGTGGTTTTTAGTATATTTATAAAATTATGTAACCATCAGCACAAATAATTTTAAAACATTTCATCACATCCAAAAGAAACCTTTACCCTTACCTCTTCTCCCAGCTTCTGGCAAATACTAATCTAATTTCTGTCTCTGTATATTCAATAGAAATGAAATCATACAAAGATGTGGGTTTTTTGTCTGGCTTCTTTCACTTTGAATAGTAATATTTTCAATGTAATTCCATGTTGTAGTATGAATTGGTATTTCATTTCTCCTTATGAAAAATGATATTTTATTATATGTATATACTACACTTTATTTCTACTGTTGTCAGTTGATGGATATTTGGATTGGTTCAACTTTTTGGCCATTGTGATTAATGCTGCTAATGAAAATTCATGTACAAGTTTTTGAGTATGCATATGTTTTCAATGCTCTTGGGTATCTAAGAGTGCAATCACCAGGCCACAGGAACACTCAAAGTTTAACTTCTGAGGAACTACCAAATTAAATTATTTCCAAAGTGGCCATCCCACTTTACAATCCCAGTAGCAATACTGGAGGGTCTGGTTTCTCCACACCCTTGCCAACACTAGTTTTTGTCTGTCTTTTTTACTTCAGTCATTCTAGTGAGTGTCCTGGTAGAATACTTAATATTAATTAAGTGACATGCCCTCATAAAAGCCCTCACAAAATCCCATTCCTTGAATTTAGGGTTTACAGTTGAGATATGAGAAACTCATGGGGTGAAGTTTCCAGGAAAGTTCCCTGAAGAAGACTAGAAGAAGGGGAATAATTCTTGGCCTTTCCTTCTCCTTCAGTTTCCTATCTGGAGTGACTGGCTCTCTAACTGTTACTCCTGGTCTGTGGAATAAGAATAGAGGCCAAGTCCTAAAGATGGCAGACCAGGAAGATATGAGTCCTGAGTCCCTGAAACTTGGAAGCTATTATAGCAGCTTTGAGCTTCTAAATAGGAATCATATTTTTTGTAAGAGAGAGAAATAAATCTCTACTTTACATATTCTATGCTTATGTAAGTATTCTATTATATGGTACTAAACTTACTCTTGTTCTACTGTATGTAAGTTTGTGTGTGTGTGTGTGTATATATATACATATGGATGCATGTTTATGGATATATAGCTATCAGCGTACATATGTGTATGTGTGCATACACATGATTTTCTGTACGAAACCTGCCACCTCACAACCAGATGGTGGTCCAGTTGCTCATGTAGGAGTTGGTAGTTCAAAATTCAGAATAGATTTCATTATATTAACAATGTTCTAAATGGTGTTATGTATTCTAAGTAGGTCACTAAGGCCTACTTAACCCACTCTGTAACATGTTTATCTCATGATAGTAGCACCAAACCTGTCCTTTGGATCCTAGAAGTAGGAATTACAAGGAGCAGGAAGAAGTTATCTGTTCGACATTTATTAAGTATCTATCAAGGGTTAAACATCGCAGATGGAAGAAGGACATGGTTCCCTATTCTACAGCAGAGTGTAGGACGCAGCATAGAAACTAGATGTTGATCCACCTAGGAAACCCTGCAGCACCATCCAAGTGTGAGTGTCAGTTCAGACTCCTCCCTGTGCCTGCCTCACAGGCTATGTGTTTGGGCCCTGCCATCCACCCCGTGTGACTACTCTCCTGTTGTTCATTCTGCTCACGTCCTGGGCATGCCCTCTCACAAGCCAAGTGCTTGGCTCCCTCTGAACCTCAGCATTTCCGAATGTAGTGACTGGAATGTTCTAGCTATTGCTGAGACACTCCCCCTCTTGGAGCAGCCACACATTTCCCTCCTCAGACTGTCCTATTTGAAATGGCGTTGGATTTCGCTCCACCACATCAGCTTGCTTTCTGATCTTGCAAGCAGCACTTATTAGACTTTAAGAGCACACAAAGCATTTAAGGATCTTGCTAAAAATGCAGATTTTGATTTAGCAGGGTCAGGATGGGGGCCTGAGAGTCTGCATTTCCAACAAGATCTCCTATTATGTCCATGCTTCTGACCCCTCAACACTCAGAGTAGCACCACTTTACTGAACTTATTTAATAATTATCCCAGTTATGATATGTTTATTGATATTTGCCTCTCCTTGCTCTGGAATGAGGGCTTAACAGGGCAGGGATATTTCCCATCTTATTTACCTCTGAAGCCTCAGGATATAAAACAACCCCTGCCTAGCATACAGTAGCTACTAAATAAATATTAGATAAATTAAGACCTTTCAAGTGTGACCAATGTTACACAAGGGTATGTGTACAGTGCTCTGAAAGCTAATCCCATCTGGAGAGTGGGGAAAGAGGTCTCATCAATTTGTCGAACCAGACTTTTGCACAAATCTGTAAGAAACATCTCCCCAACTCTTTCTGTTCTATCCAATACCCTTGCTGTAATCAGTAAGTCTGTTTTATCCAAGTCTTCAAAATCTCCAGGAAGCTCCTCCCAGCTACTTGGAGGATGAAGTGGGAATATCATGAGTTTGAGGATAGCCTAGGCAACTTAGTGAGACCACGTCTCAAAAGTAAAAAAAAAAAAAAAATGGATAAGAATGCAACTCAGAAGTAGAGTGCTTGCCTAGCATGTGCAAGGGCCTGAGTCCAATCCCTAATAACCATCCCCTAAAAATGACACAGAATCAGATAATTTAAAAAAGGGGTGATCACAGAGGTGGTGGCAAAAAATGGTAAAAAAAAAAAAATCATTTAGTTAGTAAGTGACCAATCCAGCTGTCCACAAGGGATTTATCCACACATAAACATTCAGATGCTTCTAACGTGGAAGAATCAGCTCTTTTTCTCAGGTCTGCCACACCAAGCATTCACCTTCCTGCTTCCTTCAACAGGTGATTCTGTAGCCAGCAAAAGATGTAGGCTGCTAGCAGAGCCTGAGTTCAGCACTGAACTAAAGGTTGCCCTAAAAACAAACTGTGGTTCTCATTTTGGGTCAATTTTGCCTCCAGCAGACACTGGCAATATCTGGATGTCACACTAGGGAGCTGGGAGGGTTTCTTTTATAGCTAGTGGGCATAATCAGAGATAATGCTCAACATGCTATAATGCAAAGGACAGGCCCCCCACAACAAATGAAAATATCGCTAGTGCTGAACTTGAGAAACTTTGCACTCACCACTTTTTCTTCTTTTTAAATAGTTTTGGCTCTTAGTTCCCCTCCTTCTCTGTTAAATTTAGTGATGGGATAATATATTTGTTTCCCCCAGCTCTGACATTCTAGAAGTTTTTGCTGACATCCAAGAATTTCAATACAAATATTAACTAATGAGAGTTGGCTCAGAAGACTTTCCATTTGCCTAAAAAGGCCAATTGACAACAGGTAATAGCTTCTCTGTGGACCTGGTTGCAGCATTTTACCAACCTCAGTCCATCACTCGAGGGCCCCGTGAGGGAAGGAGATGGGGCAGCTCGAAAGAGGAGCATATCCCAGGAAGTATGAATTTGTCATTTACAGTGTATAACAGAGCTTTCCCTGTTTTTCAAAACCAGTTTGGTTTGAAGATTATCACCTTGTTGACACTAGCCCAGTCTGAGAAACTGACAAGCCCACACACCTTTGTTGAAAGAATCTGTTTCTTACCCATTATCTAAGAGCCTGTGATTGAATAGCTTCATAAATACTCTGATAGAGGATTCCCTGGCACCAGCTTATCTGAACAAAGGTCAATAATATTCCACCCCACATGGGATCCTACCAAAGAAATGCACTAATTGATTAAAGCAATTAAAAAGTCTATCAGACACAACAAATGCCACCAACACTGATGAAAGAACCCTGTCTAGTTATTTCAACCACGCACTGAATAAAGTCCAGTGAGTGACAGCTTTTCAAAGGTCAGTTCAAAACAAGTAACCCTTATGAACATCAAGGCAATTCTTTCACTCCACTGAAGCAGTTCAATACTGGAGGTCATGGGTCTTCAGCAGCCACATAAAGGGGAGAAGTAAAAGCAATTAGACAAAATAGATGCTGTCATCTCACTTGTTCCAAGCTCTGGAGAGCAACGCTAAATGCTGAACCCCTGCTTTCCAGCTTCACTGTTGAGAATCTGGCAGCAGATTCCAAATGAGAATTCCATAACTTGATTTCCCTCTCACCAAAGCTGACTGTGTGTTTCTTAGGAATGTCTGCAGCCTTGGGAGGTTAAAAAAATGTTTTTTAACCAAATGCATAGATGATGCTATGAACTTTCCACTTAGGTTGGATCCCAAAAGTATTTCAACACTCACAAGTGTGGCTGACAGCTACACAGTCAGACTCACTGTACTGCTTGAAGAGCTACCCCAGAGTAGAAGAAAAAAGTCCAGATCTAAGGATGGCCAGGGCTTTTAATCAAATAGAAACCTTGACTGGTATGGTTCATCCCAGGTCCATACCCTTAACTTGGAGTGTATCTGATGTGGAGATCCTCATATTCAAGCCCAGACCCACCAGGTCAGCATCTGTGACCACGTTAAAATCTGAGAACCACTGGTCTACAGCACACTCACTATAGGACAAGCTGTTGCTTTCTCCCAGGTCGAGTTTCCCCACTGGGAAGATGGCGATATAACAAAATACACACAGGATAAAAAGAAAACAAACTCGAAGGAATGCGGTAGGGTGATGGGGGGGGGGGCGTGTTATACAGACTTCACATTCCACACTTCTGCAGTTCACATTGTTAGGCCAGTGCTACTTTTGTAATTAGGGGAAATACTTTTTAAATGGAGCCAATACTCTCTCACAACGCCGTACTGATGATTGTGAAAGGTACCAAATGAGAAACGCCCAGCACAGCGCCTGCCGCTCGGCCTTGCAGACTCAGGAAAGGTGTTAGGTGAAGTAGATGGACGGAGCCAGCTCGCCAGGTTCTCCCACGGGGACGGCTGGTGACTGCAAACCGCCCAGATTCTTCCTCCTCCTCCGGCCCTGGAAAGCTCTGCCTGCTAAACCCCGAGGTTCACACAACCTCTGGTCAGAAGTGAAGTTTCAGCAGGAGGGGCAGGCTCTGTAACTTTCCCTGAAATGAAATAAATAATTAAAGACCGTAACTGCAGAGATAGCGAACCCCAAAGGATTGTGCGCCCTCTGCAATCAGACCCTAAAAGAAGGAGAAGGGGAGGAGAGTAAGAGATCTTGATCTGCTCCGGAAAGGGGCTCCAGGAGAACTCCTCCGGAGGAAAGACCAAATCTTGCCTGCCCAGTCGGTGAGATACTGTGGGCTGGCAGTTCATCCCCTAGAGCGAAAACTCAAGACAGAAGACAGCAGTCCCCCGAGAGGGGTCAGGCTGGCGTTCTGGGCAGGCCAGTCCTGCTCCGGGAGTCTCAGGGTCTTCCCTGACCTCTTCTGCCTCGTGACCTCTAGCCTTTTGCGGGGCGAGAACCTTAGGCCTCCGAGGCAGGATGTGCGTGCGCTCGCGCTCCCGCAAATACGGCCGGAGGAGTCCTGTTCCTCGGGCATTTTCCGAGGAAGTCTGGAGCAATTAGGCTCAGTCCGGGGAGAGCGTGCCGGCGAGCAGGCGGGCGGCGCAGCCGGCTTGTCTGGGCCGCCTCACAGGAAGGGAGGGGGCGGCCGGCAGCCCGGGCGACGATCCCGGGCCCCGGCCGCCACCATGGGATTCGAGCTGGACCGCTTCGACGGCGATGTGGACCCGGACCTGAAGTGTGCGCTCTGCCACAAGGTCCTGGAGGACCCGCTGACCACTCCGTGCGGCCACGTCTTCTGCGCCGGCTGCGTGCTGCCCTGGGTGGTGCAGGAGGGCAGCTGCCCATCGCGCTGCCGCGGCCGCCTGTCGGCCAAGGAGCTCAACCACGTCCTGCCGCTCAAGCGCCTCATCCTCAAGCTGGACATCAAGTGCGCGCACGCCGCGCGCGGCTGCAGCCGGGTGGTCAAGCTGCAGGAGCTGCCCGAGCACCTCGAGCGCTGCGACTTCGCGCCCGCGCGCTGCCGCCACGCGGGCTGCGGCCAGGTGCTGCTGCGGCGCGACGTGGAGGCACACATGCGCGACGCCTGCGACGCGCGGCCCGTGGGCCGCTGCCAGGAGGGCTGCGGGCTGCCCCTGACTCAAGGCGAGCAGCGCTCCGGCGGCCACTGCTGCGCGCGGGCGTTGCGGGCGCACAACGGCGCGCTACAGGCCCGTCTGGGCGCGCTGCACAAGGCGCTCAAGAAGGAGGCGCTGCGCGCAGGGAAGCGCGAGAAGTCGCTGGTGGCGCAGCTGGCCGCCGCGCAGCTGGAGCTGCAGATGACCGCTCTGCGCTACCAGAAGAAGTTCACCGAGTACAGCGCGCGCCTAGACTCACTCAGCCGCTGCGTGGCCGCGCAGCCGGGCAGCAGCAAGGTAGGAGTTTGCTGCTTGCAGCGACCCTCTGCTAGGTCCCCTGGTATCCCAGGCCCTGTCTTGGCCCTCCGAGCACTGGGATGCCAGTTCCCAGGAGCATCCCTGCCGCCCTGTTCCAGTGCTTGTCAGTTAAATTACCGCGTGCAGGTCGTGGACCTTGAGTTCAGAGACTCTGGTCCCTACAGGCCCAGTATAGCCACAACATTTCCAGGGTGTCTAGAATGATTAAAGGAACCCACAATCAGGTGTCCGGTAAGCAAGAAAAACGGGGCTCTGGAGGCATAACTGTGTTATGACCCTGCTGCACAGCCCAGCTGGGGGGGGGTCTCAGGGAAGTCACACACTCTTAAGGTCGGAAACCATGGATCTTACAGATATGACGCAACACCATCACGGCGTGAACTGTGCCCATGTCCCTCCGCGATTCCAGAAAGAAGAGAGGGAACCCAAACCAGTGCAGAGTATGTTGAGAAGGTGGCCAGGAGAGGGGCCTCTGGTATAAACCAGCTGTATTCAGACATGGGCTTTCCTGCCATAACACTGGCTGACCTTGAGCAAGCTGCTTCACTTCTCTGAGTTGGAACGTGAGTCCTAGAGATGTGAAAGAGTAAAACACAGCCAGGCATCTTGTAAGGTTTTCACGTGGGGATCTCAGAAAGCAGTAGAGGACGCTCGCCACCCTCAACAAGTGTAAAGTAATAAGCCTGAGTCTTCGGGAGTGACAACTATTTTCGAATAGTAAGCAGCTCGGTGACTTTGTGGCTTAACCTCTGCAGGTGCCTCAGTTTCTCGCCATGTAAAAGGTGATTGTTTCCTTCAGGGCGAGAATGTATTATAAGCTCTGGCACCATGCCTAATGGCAAATAAATGCTCAACACGTCACCTGCAGTTATTTTGAGCGTCTCCTGAGCCCATCCCCAGGTGTTGCTGCTTGGTGTAATTAAGTATAACAGCCACCATGACCGAGAGCTTTTGTTAGCTGTGGTCAGCTCTTTCTAGTCATTTCCTTTTGCATCAAGTGAGATAGTTGTGGTGCTTCCCACTTTGTGGCTGTAGAAACAGGCTTGGAGGAGTCTTGTGCCTGGGTCACTGCTTTCAAGTGCCAGAGCTGGGTTTTAATCAGTGTACCCGTCTTTTTAGCCCAAGCTAAAGCCACCGTCATGTTGTCTGTCAGTATAATCATGAGCACCAGTTACTTAGTGTTTATTAAGTGCCAGCAACTGTAGGAAGCCCTACATGCATTATCTATTTAATCCTTCCAGATGAGGAAACTGACTCAGACTTTATGTAACTTGTCCAAACTCAGTGACTCAGGGGAAAGTGCTGGATTCAGGTTCTGCCTCTGCTTTCTCAGTGGGGCTGTATAACTACTTTTTGTAGTTGGGGGCTGCTCTGTGAACTGTAGGTCATTTAGCTGAATTCATAGCCACTACTCATTGAATGCCAGGAGCCCTCCCTCCCAAATCACGACAACCAAATTGTGTCCAGATACTGTCAAGTGTCATCTGGGGACAGCATTGCCCAGGTTGAGAGCCACATTTTCAACAGCTGAGTGCTTCTGGCTTCCTGAGGAGGGACATGGGCCCTGCTGTTGCCCCTCTGGTTGTCTGCTCCAGATGGCCTGGAAGAGAGGGGAACGTATTTGCCCAGGGGGACCCCAGGGGCCGGTGTCTGCTTTGCTTTCCCCTCCCCTACTCCAGTCCCCCTCTTCCATTCGTGCACAACAGGCCTGCAAGTTTTCCGACACCCCCCTTCCTGGCCCCTGGCCTGTCTGTCAGCTGCAGCCTCAGCAGCTGGCCGGCTCTGGGAGAAGGGCAAATATTTACAGCTCCTCAGCTCACCCAGGACCGCACAGGCACACAAAAGACTGGTGTGAGTCTGTGAGTCACCAAAACAGAGGGCAAAGCTTGGTTTTTCAGTCAGGCGCCAGGTTTGGGGCAAAGGAGTTCCCGGAGTTTTCTCTCATGTATGCTGTCATCTGGACTTCCTGCATCATTTTAAAAGTGATGCGTGTTTATAAATAAGCTATTCGCTCCCTCTGAGTTTATACATCATTCATTGTTGAGCTAGTTTATTATTCTTTCTTGCTTGTCTGTTTTCTTTCTGGAGTGTTTGGGTAAATGGTCTCTCAGAATCAAGAATATGATACTTGAATCAAAACCATGAATGATTTTGAAACAGTTGGGTAAATGGAAAAGATAAGGGTATTAAGCTTAGAGCCAAGATGTTGATTTTGAGTGTACAGGGAGTATCATTCAGAAGTTGGAGGCCTACTGTGGACTTTCATGGACCTCACTGCCAGCTTTGATGACAGCCAGCGATGGCCTGGCCCCTAAAGTCCTCTAAAATGCTTCTCTGGCCTCAGACCTGGCAGGCCTCAGCTGAAGCCTTAGAAGGCTTACTCCTCTTGTTCCAAAGTTAACCCTCCATGGCCCTTGCTGAGAGCTTTTGCTGTCCCTGCCTCAGCCATAAAAACTCCTCCTACTGGAAGCTGTTTTAAAACTTGTTTATTTCATTGGGCCAGCTCTCTGCTCCTGCTCAGTGCTGTTTATTCTCCTCCAAAAGGCAGAAGGATTTATATCACCTGGAAACTCTCATGTACATTTTTGTTTCATTTTTTTCTAAGTTTTAATGTTTGCTTCTCTGTTACAAGCTGAAATAGATAAGAAACATTTCAGAAGATTTTCAGTACCAGATTCAGAGCCTAAAGCTTGTTCTATAAATGATCTGGCATTCTTCAGATTATCTATGGTGTCAAGTTTTTTTTGACACCTGCTGCATGCTCAGGGTTTAACAGTGCTGTGCTTGTGTAGACCTTATTTCCTGTATAAAATGTGAGGTAGATCAGTGCTTCTTTAACTTAAGTATGAATGGAATCACTGGAGAGCTTGTTAAAAAATAATTCCTGGATCTCAACCCTGGAAATTCTGGTACCCATCAGGGCTGGCCTGGGGCCTGAGATGCTGCATTTTTAACAAGCACCCTTTGTGATCCTAGTCCTTTGTGTAACTTCTGAGTTAAGAGTTCAAGCTCAAGTATAGACATAGACTGAGCATGCATTGATCTTTACCACACACTGATGATCTTACTGATCACTGTCTATTTATTTGTGCTGGCAATAGACCAAGAGCCTTATGCATACTAGGTAGGCACTCTACCATGATGCTGCCTCATCAGCCCTCTGATCATTTTTCTAAACACCCCTTTCAAAACATTTGAAGACTGTGATAATATCTTGAAACCCAATCACTAGCAGTTAAATTATAGTTGATCATTATCTATAAAGGTAACTATAATCCTGCCTGAGGCTGCACCTAGGCTGCAGCGAACATGGCAATACCACACTTCAGTGTGGGGGAGTTTCACTTTTAGCCTCAGTTTCCCACCCTAACTTACCAGCCTGGTTCTAAGAGCGAAGGTGTTTCAAAACAAAAGTATCATTTGCATTTGCATTTTAAGGGTAAGGAAACATTCTCATAAAACCTTCTTTGGAGTTCTTGAGAAACTTTAGATTCTACTAAAGTAGAATCTAAACCTTACCTTCTGTTCTTAGACCTCCACATCAGCCTGTCATTATATCCAGTGGATTTTACCTCCTAGGTATGCCTTGAATCTATTCACTGCTTTCCAGCTTATTCAAACAGTCATGCTGGTGTAAACCAGGATTCCTCAGCCTCAACAAAGTGAACAGTTGGAATGAGTAATTCTTGTGTGTGTATTTGTTGGAGGGAGAGATGGTTGTATGTATTGCAGGTTGTGTAGCGATTGCATACTTTGAAGAGTAGTGCTTCCCAAACTGACAGTCAAAAATGGAGTCTTTTCTAATGTACATTGGGGAACAAAGTTGGCATTTGTCTCAGCTACCATCATCTCTTGCCTGTTCCCTCTACATATCTTTTTGCTCCCCTCTAATTCATTCTTTACCACACATAACCTAATCTCTTAGAAATATAAATCCAATTCTCAATTCGCCTTCTTAAAACCTTCTCTACCTTCCTATTTCTCTTGGGTGATATTAGGGTCCAGCATGGTCTGGATCCTGCTGACCTCTGTTTGTTTTCTTCTCCTCTTTAATCTCTTCTCCCCACTTCGCTGGTCTCTGAGGGCTCCACGAATGTGCCTCAAAACCTTGTCATGCCTCTGGGCCTTTACACAGCCTTTTCATGTGATTTCTTCCCTAAATAACCTGTAGACCTTCTGCTGTTCCTGCCCAGAACTTAGGGTTTGATCTTCTGCCCAGAACTTAGGTTTGATCCTCAGTAGATGACTTTTCATTCTCTCCTTTGCATGTCAGCCTCAATATCCCTGTCTCCAGGAAGCCAGTTTCTCTGATCTCACAAACAATGTCTGGTGCTGTAAGGTTCTCTGCCCCTGGTAGAGTTTCCCCTATCCCTTCATGC